ATAATCCAGAGCTCTCAGGGAGTTTCAGGGCTTTGTCTAGTAAATGGTATTTCTTTCTAAGACTTTTCCACAATGGCAGTAATGTGCAACCACCTGCTGAAAATGCTGAAAGAGCTTTCCCATGTACCGATCCAGTGACACAAAACTATACACAGGCTATAAAACTTTTCTAACTGTTCAGGATGCATGGCTGCATGCAGAATTAGATATGTATTGTGCATCAGAAAATATCCAGGAACGGTACTAGATTAATGGCTTCAAAGTAGTTCAAAGTAGAGCCTGCTTCTAAATCAGATGATACAGTAGTGCTGGAGAAACCAAGGTCTGCGCTCCTGTGGCAGTGAAAGCAGAATAGGAAATTTAGATGACTCTCTCACTGCCTTGAAGTCATTGTCTAATATTAGCCCTGTCAGCGCCTGGCTCTTTGTCAGTCGGAGCACAGGAGGAGGTGGTTACCAGCCAGGAGAATATGACCGAGGCTTTTAAATACTGTTGCTTGGAAAGTCTTATTAATGGGTGCGTGTAAATCGATGTGCAATAATTCTTTCAAGCAGTATCTTTCTAAAAGCCTTTAGCAATCTGTCATCCTCGTCTCCCTCCCCCCGGTTAGAAAGCCACATTAGTCAGGAGAAATCGCACAGTCTTGGGAAGTTTCAAACTGCGTCTGCTGATGCCGTCAGGAAAATGCTACTGTGCGGGGGCGCAGGTGCAATTACACTGACGGCTGCTTCTCATCCTCGGCTCGGGTCATCCTGGAGGGACAAGCGGAAAGAAACGGGGAGACGGGCGAGGTTCTCTCAGGTGCATGGGAGCAGTACCGAAGAGAAAAATGGAACACCCTTTTCCAGGAGACTAAGATCGCGCTGTCTGTGAGTGTTAGTTAGCTCAGCTTCTTCAAATCTGTGTTTTGGGGTGAGGGGAGATTTCAATACTGTTTCTTTTGTTCTGAATTTAGACACCTGCTCAGCAAATCTTAGCCTTTGCTGTCACTGTGGTAGAAATGTTTAATCTTTTGTTTTAAAAAAAGATAATTCATAACTTGTTGTTATTTTGAAGATGGTTTAAGCTCCCACAGTGTTTTTGTCATATTGGAAACTTCAGCTTTGGAATAACGTATCCATGTTTTAAGAAGAGATCTTTAAACCTCTTATTTTGTGCAATGGCATTAGATATTACTTTTAATCTGCTCCGTTAGCTATGGTTGGAAACTAGAGCAACGGTTTGCTAGGTAGTAAATTTTATCATAGGAAGGAACATTGGGTGTGGGAAGCCCCTGTCTCTAATGGAGAAATCCTGAGTCATTTACTTCATGATGCATCAGCAAAAATAATTAGGGTGTGGCTTTGATTTTCAGACGCTATTGTAACAATGTCTTGATCTGATTTGTGATTGCAGAGATTTTTCTCTGAATACACACAAAATGCCTCACATAGTAAAGTGCAATATCTGTGCTTTCAAGACTGCGGTAGATGTAAGTATTTGAGGAGATACCTATCAAAAGTAAGCTCTTTTCCAAAGCTAGAGTTCTCTACTATAACAACCTTTCCCTCACATAGCAGTAGGCAATGTTATATATGTTTGATTATCTTTTAGTATTTGGCTTGGTTTTGATTTTTTTTTGTATTTATTTTTACTGTAGGCTTAGAGTTGCAAATATGTTTAGTCTTCAGTTTAGGTGATGTGTTTTTCCCACCGAGTCAGTGCTGTATGGCAAGCGGCATGAAAATAAGCATTGGGAAAGCGTTAAAAAACAAAACTAATTTAGTGGATTGTTCTTTAATCCTGCTTAATATATCTTGGGTTTAGAATGAGACTCAACCACTTTCAACAATGAAAAAAGTAGAGTTGTAATTAAACACCTGTATTTGAGTGAAATGATTTTTAGTAGTATGGATCTAAAATAAATATGCTCAGGGAGTTATAAATGAGGAGGAAAGGGTTTTCTTTCTTGATTCTGGAATCAGGAACTTGTATAAACTTATACTTTACTGTACTATAAATGTCTAGTTACGATTGAATGGCTTTGCAGTGTGACTGACTATAGGGAATTAGAAAAGTCATAGAAAAGTGTTTTTTTTGTTGTCAGCCCCTGCGGAGTTCCCGGAAAACCCTAATTCTTAAAATTTTCAAATAGTATATTCCCACTCAGTACATTGACTTTCTGACTACGTTGCTTCACTTATTAACAAGATTTTCTGTGTCTTATTTGTACGAAGTGCACCAAAGAATAATGGCATTTTGTCTTCTGTCTGTCCTGGAACTGTTTTCCATTTCCAGCACACGTTTTGGGCAAGTAGCGTAATAAATGATGCCCTGGCTGTAAATGTAATGCCTGTCTCTTGTACCTAGATGGTCTCAGAAAGTGATTTGAAAGATGAAGAAACTTAGAAGAAACTTCAGCAATAAATACAGCATATTGCTGAAAAACCCTGTTTTGAAAACCCTGTTTTGGTATCCTTACTTACTTTATTTACCATCAGTAACTGACAGTATGATGGAAACATTACAATAACATGAATTATTACAGGTTTTTTTCTTCCCTACTTTGTAAACGATTCATTACCATGTCATTCTACCAGAGATAACTAGAAATAAACAAACAAATCTGACTGTCAAACATGAGTAATAGTAAGAATAGTATTATTCATGTTTGACAGTCAGGTTCATTTTTTTATCTAAGTTGAGAGTGATTGAAAGTAAAGATTCAAAAATACGTGGAAGTAGATTCCTCTAGAATAATATGATGCTCTATTGGTAGGAAGATGAGATTTTATATTTTAAATTTTCTTTTCATGCCATCCACTGAAACAACCTTGCTGTTCCTTTATCTCACATTCTAACATAAAAACTTTCTCTCAGGTCTGAATTGTTTTTGTTTTTTTTTAAATTACAACCTATTAGTACTTGCAAGGATAAACTTTCTGATATGTCTTAAACTTCTTAAACTAAAACTGTGGTATCTATAAGTGTTCAAGGCCAGGTTGGACGAGGCTTTGAGCAACCTGGTGTAGTAGAGGGTGTCCCTGCCCATGGCAGGGGGGTTGGAACTAGATAATCTTTGAGGTCTCTTCCAACCCAAACCATTCTATGATTCTATAATTCTATAATATATGCAGAAATGTAAAATGAGTTGCACTTTTTTTTTTTTTAACATTGGACTGGTTTTTTTATATTATCATGACATTTGCAGATGAAAACAGCTGAGCCTGACAATGCTGATGAATGACAGCATGAATAGAAACCAAGGAACTTTTCTCACAGTCAGAAGCGCATGTTCAAGAATATGTGCGTATCTGTGATGTTTTTTATGGGAAAGAAGGCATTTAGGAGTGAGAGGTTTGGGTAAGGATGTAAGCTAGAAATTCAGAGCTATAATTTGTGGGACATCAGACACATTATGAGATTTAATTATTGTTTTTAAAGCTTTGTGAAGATGAAAAATGCTTTGTAAGTGTTAAGTATAATACTTCTGTCTCCTGTATTGAAACAAGCATTATATAGAATAGGCTATTTTAATGGTATTGCAATTATGTAGTTACGTAGTAATATTCTGATTCTTTGATAATATTGGAACTTTTGTGTGAATGTTCATGTACATAAAATCTACCCTTCAACTTTTTAAAATTCCTTTACTAGATTTTCTAGCCATTACTTACTTATGTCATGGGAGAAGTTTGCTATAGACTGTTGGAGACATCTTCAATGAGTTATACAGACCACACAGCTTTACAAGTGACAGGCCTGTCAGTATCATTTAAAGTTAGACAGTATCTAGGACATGAAATATAATAAATAAACAAATAGTGTCTGGTTTTTTGTTAGCATAGGCTAATATATGTATGCCATCAGTGATATTTCTGATGGAAGCGGAGTCTAATCTTCAAATTTTCTGAGCAAAATGTAAAGCTGAGTGTGCTACACAAGAGACCTCACTCTTAATGGAAGAATTTTATGATCATTAAGGTTCTTAATAACCTGATTTCACAAGGGCCTTAACCCACTACCTATTTAGTGCTTTCTTTGCCCACATTTTACATGCTTCTAATGGATTCAGAAAGGGGAACAGTGGTGGTTTTACTTAGAGTATATGAGATTTTAGTCACAGTGTAGTTCTTGGTCATTTAATAAAAAAAATGAGGTTTTCCAATGTGCACTTAAGTTCCACTAATGATCTTTTAGAAAAGAGTGGGAAAGAGAAGGCATGTGGAGTGAGAGAAATCATGTGGAGTGAGAAAAATCCTCCTCCGAGGAGGAGGATTGGCGTAGCCTGACTACTCTGAGAAACTGAAAGAGGAGAACCCTTATCTATTTGAAGGAATATATGATAAACATTCAAGTTAGCTTTTATTCAGTTATTATTTGCTAACTCAGTAGTCAGCAAACTGATTTCCAGTCGAGCAGTGATAAAAAATTGTAAATCTACCCCTAATGAGACCCTGTAAAGCCTTTGAAATGTTAATCAGAAGGAATTTATGTAAAACTAGTAAGGTGCCTGTATTCTACCTTGATAATAAGAACAAATAAAATTATTCGTCCTAGCCAGGGGCTAAAGTTTTCTTAACTTTTGGAGAGATGCTATATTTTTTACTATTTCTGTCAAGCACAAAATGTACTAATTGCAGTTAGATGGAAGGTTTTGATGTTGCCAAATACCCAGAAAGAGAGAAGAATTGGGCATTGTTTCATCTATGCAATATTTCACTTACTAAATGTAGCAGTCAGGATTTTAGCTAATTCTCTCTCTGTCTTCAGTAGACAGAGTCTCTGCCTCTCTCTCTGCCTTAACTTCGTCCATTTTTGTGAGTAAATAGAACCCATCTAAACAGCATTAGTCCATTTTTCTTGTTCCGCTTTTAGAAAATTATCTCATCATGGACCACAAAGTGAGGTGCACCCTGAGATACTTGTGGAAAATCTCCTTGGTATATTTGGGTTCTTTTGTCAGCTCTCTTTATGTAGATGAGTACCAATAAACTACAGGAATAGTCATGTGTCAAATGATGACTGGCCATGCTTGTGACAAGTATGATCAAGATGATGGTCAAGACGATGGACAGGTCTGCCAAGAGTCTAGATACGATTTCCTTGGAGTCTTGCCTGGAGTGAGTGTCAAAACTGTGATTTTTTTTAATAAAACATTCTCTGATCATCCACTGTTTTGTCTGTGCATCTCTGTCTAAATGGGGAAAATTCTGGCTGGTCCTGCCTGAAACCTCCATGCTACCCTAAAGCCTCTTGTGTGGGGGTGCTCGAGTTGTTCCAGGTGTGCTGCCAGTGTGCAGCCTGGTTCTGTATGGAAGTAATTTTAAGAAGACATGGTTGTGCATATCCATTCATATTCCAAGTTTTGTCCTGAAGTTATTAAGGGAATTTAACAGTGTCTATTTTGTTTTCTTTTCCGTTTTAATTAAGTAATTCTGGTAAGGTAGCATGTTGTACCTTCTTTCCAGCCAGTCCAGAACAGCACGTTGTTTAGTTAGAGTTAGATGCATTTGAAAAAGTACTCAACCCTGGAGGAAGGGTACTTGGAAAAAAAGATAGGATTGAGTTGTCACACTAGAAAAATTCTTGCAAGGAAATGAGTCACTAACCTATCCTAGCATTTTGCACAGTCATTGTCATTGTGGGTGAGGGTGATTGTCTGTACCTGTGAGTTGGTACAAATGTTTGAGTTTCAGGTAATGACTGGACAGTAAATCTATTGTGAGTAACTCAAGCAGACCGTGCAAAAGTATGAATTTGCATCCTTTAAATAGATAAGTGATCAAAATAGCTCCTTGGTGATGGGGTTAAGAAAATCCCTAGAAGTGACAAGTTAATTTGTTCAGCTGGTGTGAATGATTGCTTCCAAGTTTTATCATATGGCAAGCAGTCGTCTGAGATTTGGCCATGGTGGTACATGGTCATAGTAGATGAGCCGCCTTCGCAACTTGCACCACCAAGTTAATGGTAGTTAATGTAATAATTTGTAGTAGGTGTTCTTTTGGTGGTTGTTTCAGCAGACCTCCACAACTGTGCATTATTTACTGTAAAGTTTTTACTTTATATTTACAGTATTTTTGTTATCTCATTGATAGTATGTTGTAATTCTTAAAATGGTTGGTGTTCTTCATATGCAGTTAGCAAACTGCATATGGCCAGCGTTTGCATGCTCGTGTGGGATGTTGATAAAATTTTTCAGAGGTTGAAATGAATCCCTAACTAACTAGACTATTTAAGACCTATTGCTGAAAGGTTTTCTTAAAAACAAAGTCTCTTCACATGTCCTGAGAAAAACTGGAGTTAGCATAAATATCCTTTTCGTTAAGTCTATCCTAGATACTGCCATATATGTGGTTGTAAACAGAAAAAAAAGTTAAGTAAATCTAGATATTTGATGCAGATGATCACAAGAAATTTCAGAAGTCTATATAGATAAATATCTAAACATGTAAAAACCCATTCTCTGGTGATCAGAATTCATACTTTCTCTAAAAAGTTTTATTAAGGACATTTTTTAAATGAGTAGTTTTGCCAGCAGCTTAAAGTGCTGTGATACTCCTTTGCCAGAAGTGCTAGTGCCATCCTTGGAGAGAGCAGAAGTCCTTTTCTAATTTGTTTTTCCATTTCTGTAAAACGTTCTGTAGGTACCTAATCAGGTTATGCTGAAGCTTCATTTATTGGAGTTTGAAAATCGCTCTAGTTTTAAAGTTTATTTCAGTAGAAGTGGTTCAAAGTATAATCTATTTAATTTTTATAAACTTTAGGAAGACAGTGTCATTAAGTGTTCTGGAGTCACATAATAATATTTTAAAATGTATTACCAAATACATAATTTATTTATTGAAAACACATAAGTTATAGGCTAAAGAACCCTATCAGGTAACCTCAAAAAAATATTGCTGTGGGAACAGTCGATTGGTTGCGTGCTTTTTTCTCATCACATTGTTTTGTATGTTGACTGACTTGCAGCTTCTTTCATTATGGCCAGGATAAAACTTAAGGGAGATATTTAAAGCAAAATTTTGGCTTCTTAACTATTAACTATGTTGGGTTTTTTCCTGTTGCATAGAATTACAGAATGGTTTGGGTTGGAAGGGACCTTTAAAGATCATCTAGTCCAACCCCCCTGCCATGGGCAGGAACATCTTCTGCTATATCAGGTTGCTCAAAGGCCCATCCAGCCTGACCTTGAACATCTGCAGCTTCTCTAGGCAACCTGTTCCAGTGTCTTACCACCCTCATTGTAAAAAAATTATTCCTTATATCTAACCTAAATCTGTCCTCTTTCAGTTTAAAGCTGTTACCCCTTTTCCTGTCACTATAGGCCCTGGTAAAAAGTCCATCTCTGTCTTCCTTATAAGCCTCCTTTAATTATTGAAAGGCCTCAGTAGGGTCTCTCCAGAGCCTTCTGTTCTCCAGGCTGAACAACCACGACTCTGTCAGCCTGTCTTCATAGGAGAGGTGCTCCAGCCCACGGATGACCGTCATGGTGATCCCACCATGGTGATCCCTTCACCGACAGCTCCATGTCCTTCTTATGTTGGGAACTCCAGAGCTGAATGCAATACTCCAGGTGAGGTCTCACCAGAGAGGAGTAAAGGAGGAGAATCACTTCCCTTGACCTGCTGGCCATGCTTCTTTTGATGCAGCCCAGGATATGGCTGGCTTTCTGGGCTGTGAGCGCACGTTGCCAGCTCATGTTCAGTTTTTCATGCACCAGTACCCCCAAGTCCTTCTCTGCAGGGCTGTTCTCAATTTATACATTGCTGGTTGTGCGGTTGCTATATTCACAGTTGTGTTTTGTGGGAAACAGGGAGTGGTTTTTAACATTGTTTTTTTCTCATACTTCTTTTTTAACTCTCTTTCAGAATTCCCCACTCTACCAATATCTGCAGGATTTGGGACACACAGATTTTGAAGTATGTTCATCTGTGTCGCAGAAGGCAGAGCAATGTGCAGCAGCAGAAAGCCAAAGAGAGCGGACTGTGCACACTGCCCAGAAAGTGAGTGCTCTCCGGTTCCTGAGTATTTATCTTCTCAAAAGAGAACGGCATTGCTTCACAAATAGGCAAAATCAGAGGGGATAAACATAAATCTCTTACTATTTAAATTAAAAAAAAGTAAAAAAACCCCAAACAAAAAAACTCCAACTGATTGTCATATCTTGTCTGAAAATGTGTTTGGAAATGCGTGGTTTGCCAGCATAGTTTCGAATGTTTCTTTGCACTTATATAGGCTAGGGAGGCAAGAGACTTTGATCATGAATTTTTCGAGTGTTGTAAGTTATCTTATTTACTGGATATTATGTTAGCTTAGCATGACTTTCTGGGAATAAAACCTGTAATTTTCTGGAACAGAATATTTATAGATCCCAGCCCTTCTCAGGCATTCATTTGCTAAATATCACTTACTCTGAGACAAAACATATTAAGAAAGAGGATTTCTGGGAAGTATACATACAGTAACCAGTATGAATGAAGATAGTAGAACTGTGCTTAGATTATGGCAATTTTCTAACAGTAACACCTGACAAGGATCATCAACTGATTAGCTCAGACTTGTTATTCCTCTATTGTTTTAAGTAAAGGCTTGTGGATTTTTTTAAAACGTTTTGATATTAAAGTTATGCTTGAGAATTTTACCATTTAATACCTACTAAGGACTACACATTTTTTGTTTTCCTTGTTAAAAATAAATAGTATTTTACTGTTATTGGTAGCTTACAAGCAATGTGACTCAGATGAGGAGCTGTAGTGTAGGTTAGGAAATCCCTCTTTTGAGGAAGCTAATGTAGGCATCTCTTTGCAACCAGTATATTGAAAATTCAGTAATTGGTCTGTCTTCTCCTTAACACCTAGATGGAGCATGCAAAGAGCAATTATTTTTCTACCTACCTCTTTCACTTCCACAGTGAAGGGTTCTATTTTCAGTGGACATACTCCAACTATGTGCTAAGCCAAGAGGAAAAAGAGGCCTCCGTGCAGACTTCTCTGTCCTGGCCACTGCCAGCTAAGGTGGGCAGAACCTCGCAACTAGGAACCCAAACCAAGCATTCGTGGGTTGATGCGTTGCCTCTGAAGAATTATAATTTCTTTCTCCTCTCTCTCCACCATCTAAGGTAGCTTTCATCTTTTTGCACCTTAGCTCATCTGATAATTGGCTGCTGTGGCTTTTAACCTTCCCCTGGAGCTCAGTTTTTCTGTTGCTTTATACCTCTTCAGCCACCTTCAAATCAGAGGTTCACAACCCCTTTCCACCTGTTTGTAACCTCTACTGCTTCCCTGCTCCACAATGTTCCACCCTCTCAGTTAGCTGGCAGTGAACTAGGGAGAGCATTCTGGTTTTCCCAAACACAGGCAATATGATGTGAATGGCCCTGAGATCTCAAGAAGATCTTTCTGCATTTTTGGTGGATGGAGGATCATAGAGCAAATAAGGAGAGCTGATGCCTTTCTTAGGATCTTTTCTCAAATAATGCCATCTTGACATATATCCGGTACTCAGTTCTCAGATGCTTCCAGGAATTAGCCAAGTAATAGTCACAGTTAGTTAGGCTTTATTTCAACAGAATTTTTTCAGTTTCGTATATGTCCTTCTTGTTCCTTCTTTGTTTTAGGTCAGTAGTATTTTTTTTCTTGTGGGATTTTTAATCTGTTTTACTTTATGTAGGATCTTAGGTGGGGTAGGATTTGGATGTGTAGGAACTGGTGTGGATAACATCAGTCAGTTTTTTTTCTGATCCAAGGGAAGAATATGTGGGTTTTGAAATGTTTACAATAGTATGGTGTACTTGCAAGGATTGACATGCACTGTCTTTGAAGTGGAAATTTAGACATTGCAGTGTGAAGCTTATTCATCTAGCAGTATTCAGAGAAGTGTTGGTGGGTCATATTTTCATACAACAACATTCGTTTCTATACACTCTGTGTATAGACACACACTCATTAGTCCGTTTGAAAAGGCAGGATAATAAAACATGAAACCTTTTGCTTTGGTTTTCAGTCCTGTTGGGCACTTATCTTCATGGATAGATTGGTCATAGTTTGTATTTACCTGTTGGGCAGGTGCACTGTGCACTTTTCTTCCTAGCCTTCATCGCCAGTTTCTGAGACCTGTAGTCCTACAGAAGTGTGCCATGTCTCCCTTCTCTGATGCCCCCCTTTCTGATCAAAGATGACCATGTAAGTGAGATGCAGGGTGCGTATCCGTTGAGCAGACCAGTAAGTACCACTGCGTGCGCAGCACATGGATTAGACAGAGCCTGTAAAACTAATAATACTGTAATAAGAATCCTCAAGTTTAGTAGTTTTCAGCTGCATTCTTGTAGAGTTTACAGCTTTTCAAATAGTTCAGCAATCATGTAGAAAAAAATACGAAGAAGTTTCATACAGAACTCCAGTCTTGTGTGCTGAGGATCTGTGAGCCCAATACACAGAACTAACTGAGAGGAGGAGGAGTGACTCTTGCAGTGTCTCCATGTTGCTTCTTTGACTGGTTTCTCTAATGTGAGATTGCTGTAAATGTAATGAATGAATTGATATCTAGTTACTGTTGATGTGAATATCTATTACATTTGTAATAATGATTACTTCTATCAATGGTCACAAGACAAGGCTGAATTTAATTCAGGGTTTAACTCACAATTTTTTATACTTTAATTTAAATTACTTTTAAAAGTATTCATGGAAATATTAGGTCCACTACCCTTACTTTTCAGAATTGTCAGCTGGCACTCACCCTAATCCTTAAGAAACCACCCGAAAGTGTATTTTCCCTTTAAAGATATTGACCGTTTTGTGGTACATTTACATTGAAGATACCTATTCTGGCTTAGTGCAGGAAGATTTTAATTAAACCATTGTTAATTGAAAATTAGTGTGACATATTTCATGGTCTGATTATCTTTTCATTACTATGTAGTAGTGCATGGACTATCGCTTGTTAGCTGCATTATTTTATTTTGCATAATTACTTTTATGGAAGTCAGTAAAGCAGTATGATCCTGTGTTCAGGTATATAATTTCCACCAATTTAATACAAAAGTGCTGTGGGGTTAAGAACCTCAAAAGTATTGAGATATGCTGCTTACAAAAGCCTCAAGTATTCAGTTTTTTCCCTTCCCCTCAAGTGTTTTACACTTAATTTTGTTGTGTTGGGAGCAAGTCCTCCAGCATTGAGTCAAATGTAGAAGTAATTCATCATGATTTGCAACTTGAAGGGAGTGGGTGTGTGACAATGGACTGTCCATTTCTTACAAATACTAGGATGACACTCACATTGTCTCATCTCTGTCTAGACAAGGATATGTGGTAGAAATATGGAAGAAACCTGTGCGTAATTTCTAGTGATAAAATGTCACAGGTTCTTCCTGCTGCTGTTCCGGTTCCAGTTTGGGAATATTAACACTTTTTTTTTTGTAATGTGATGTCAGAAAGTCTGTTCTTGTCATTTGATTTTGGTGTCCCATTTTGGTAGGGTGTCTCACAAGGAAAGATGAAGAGGGAGCGGCAGCTGGCCACACATTTAAAGTAGACAGTTTAGGAGGATCTGAGGCTTTGTGTAACTTTTGTATGACATACAGACAAATCATTTACATTCCCATCCCATTATTTCCTCGTTTTTACATGAGACTCTTATCACTTCCCTTCTCTTAGCCTTCACTGGCCTGGCCTACTGAAATTAAAAAATGTCTGGGAAACAAATGATTTCTGAGTTCTGAATATGTACCTACCCACAGTCCTAGTATAAAATGATCTTAGTTGAGGCTTTGTGTAATGTAGAATATGATCACAGGGAGTAGATGATGTTCCATGCTGAGTGATGCCTAGTATGTGTGCATCATTTTCCTTCTGTTCTGAAAAGCAAGTTTGCGAATGCCCTGAACACTTTATTAAAATAAAAACAGAAAAGCTGCAGTATTGCTTTGTCTTTGAGTTGAGATTGTTTACTTCTCTTGTATTCAGTCAAGTAGGAACCCTGTGCAGATGCAATCCGGTGACATGTAGCAAGATTTTGGCAAAGTGAAGATCTAATTTGGGATCTAGTTCAGGGACTGAAAAAACAAATTGGGGGGGGGGCGGGAAGAGGTTCCTAGTGACTGATACAAACGTTGCTACTGTGTCTTGCTGTCATTCCAAGCAGCGTATCTGGTTGAGACTTAAGGCAAGGCAGAGGCTTCTGCTGAACTTGAAGCATGTCTTAAATAGTTCTCCGTTTGTGTGGTTTTGGTGGATTTTTTAAATCGGAATGTGGTCTTAATGAATATTGAGCTAAAAAGCTGTAAAGGTGCTTCAAGGTTGTGTTCTGAGGGCTGATGAAATGCCAAGCTCCCATCTGAGGGAGCACAGACATGTGATTTAGCACAGTAATTATAGGTACGGTGTTCCTGGCTGTGCCAGTCTGGAGGAAGTTAACAGCTAAAGTTCTGGTCTCATGATCACTTGATACTCAAAAGCACTGTTTGCAAGAGCTCCTAGACCTGTTTCTGGAATTAAATGCTGTTTGGGTAATTCTGGTTGATCTTTAAGGAAAGTATTTCTTCCCATTTACATTTTTTCTTTCTCAGTCATTTTCCTCCACTGCTGTGCCTATCTGAATGTTTAAATTGATTATACTGTCACACTTTATCCCATCTTAGATGTGATAATATTTCATCACTAGAACACGGCTGATGCTGGAGGCAGCTACTGAGGATTGTGTTGGGGCTAGCCCTTGGTAGCTGTGCAGGTGACCTGATGTGGAAAGGCAGAGGAACCAGTCCTTTGCCTTTGTCTAGGGCTCCCACCCACTTAACGCTAGTTCTGGGTGGCTGGAAGGTATTTAATATGTAGCATTATCTTCTTTCTGAAGTGCACAGAATTGAAAGGTGCCAATGTGAGTGAGGATATTTTATATACTTGCTAGTTTGCCATTTCAAGTTCATCCTGTACAAAAGAGAAATAGTCCTTAGAATTTTATTTTAGATTCAAATGAATGTACCTAAAATGTGCATGTCCTATGCTATTTTTTTTAAATGTTAGGAGTTATACATCTTTGTTATTCAATTTACAGAGAGTTTGACTGAGTGGTATTCCGAAGTTGTAAGAAGAATATGGCAACATGACCTGACTTGTGTGTTGATGAAAGTTGTTTTACTTGTCAGTAACACCCCCAATGGGAATGCAGACTGAGACACTGTTCCAAGGATCTGAATAATTTAATGTGTTACTGTACTTTACTGGGTCACAGCCCAAGACAGTGGCCTGTCATGTTTTGTGTTTTCAAGCACTGACATGCCTGTTGAGTGTTTATGCAAGCTCAGCTTTTTAGTTTCAAACTAAATCACAGAAAATAAACCAAAAGATTACTTAAGTAGCACACTAATATGGGGTTTTTTTTCAGTGATTCCACCGTCTAGTTTAGTCAGCTGGTAGCAGTTTAAAATTATCCTTGGTGTAGGTTTAAATGTTCATGATAAAACCCAAAGACTTATGAAGGTTAAGCAGTTGAAAATGGGAGGCTCCAAGAGGCATAATTTTAAATAGTAAATGGACAATTCTTTCTGTACTCTGCTTTCAAAGTACAGAGAAAAGTACTTCTGAATGAAGTATCTTTCTGCAACTCAAATGCAGAGCAAGGACCTTTGTTTATTTAATCTCGATTTTCTACAAATTCCTAACTGGAAAATTTTGTTTTATTTTGCATCACTTTACAAGAAACTTGGAGGATAATCTAGTGCTGCAGTTTGTGACACTATTCTCCTCTTCCAATTTATGTCAGTGCCCTTCAGCAACATCAAAGTACAATCACTTGGGTTTATTCCGTAGTCTAAGAAGTGTGGATTGCTGGGATAGCTCCTCCTAATGAGCCATGATGATGTCTGTGTATCAGGAGGGGCTATCGTTATGAAATCTCTATTATTGATTTGTCTCTCCGCTGACCTAAAAACACTTCCTTTTGGCATAGGTCTGCAATTCTAACTGTACACAGAAAGATGAGATATATGTAACAAAAAACTTGAGTTAGGTTACCCAAATGGACGCCAAAGTAAGTTATTTCAAAAATGGTTGAAGCGTAAGGGCTTTAGGGTGACAGTTTCTCGTGTTACTCAAAGCTGTTCTGCCCCGCTTGCTGCATCAAACATGTGTCACACTGCCTTTCAGAGGGCTGTCGGGCTGATCACAGCACTAACCACAGAGCTCCAAGCTCCTGTTGCTTGGTTTTACTCTTCTATTTCCCACCTTATAGTTGTGGGGGGAAAAAAAAAAAAGGGAGAAACGAAAGAAGCTGATTTAATGCAGACAGCCTTTATACTAAGCCATTATAATCTAGGGGGGTTTTATTTTTGTTTTGAAAGACTATGCCACAAAATGTAAGTGCTCCACAATTAATTTTTCTTTGCTTACATTTCTTTTGATTGTATTACATGTCAGCAGTCTGAAGATAAAGAGGTAGGGCCTCAGAATTTGTGAAATACATGTAAGTAAATATTTTGAAAAATACTTTCTGTCAGCTTAGTCTGAGGAAAGTAGATACGCAGTGTGTGTCAAAAACTCCATGTTATTTTTTTTCATTGAGTGGCTGCAGAGTGAAGCAAAATCATGCATCTATTTAATGATAATCTTTCACGCATTGTATTTTAGGAAGATACATGAGTAAAATGTATGATGACGGAGAGGGAGTCCCTCTAATTAGTGGCGTTCGAAGTTATGTTTGCAACTCAGATGAAAGTGTGGATTTAGGTTGCATGTGAAGCAGCATGGAGACAAAGTGCCTGAAAGCTCACACGGATTGGGACAGGAAGTTTCTGGACAGTTCCTCTTCTTACAGTCACTCTTCTCTGTCTCAGTTCACAACTCCTCCAGAGCTTTGACTTCAAGCTGTGGTGGTCTACCAAGGAGAGGTTGTTCCTCTCCTGATCTTTTACTTTTGTTCAGTCCCTGTCAGCCATTTAACTTCACTGCTTGCTTTTATCCTCAAGGAGAGAGAAAGCCTTTCATATCGATGCAGTAGCTGCCAACTTGAGATCAAACTAATACTAGCTGTAGTTATTTTTAACAGTACAACATAACAATTCATTATGCTCTAAATAGGTGGGGTTACCGAAAGCTTTATTTCACACTCCTGTGTACAGGCAAACTGACGGGAAGCAGATGTTCCCTTAGCGTACTCTGAAGTTAGGCCAGACACAGTAAGCGAAACTTCCTTACAGGTACTTGGATCTAAGTTAATAAGAAAAGCAAATGCAGAAATAAAGGAGTTGTCTCTTGTTATTTATTTTTGGCTTTGTTTTTTTTTTTTTTAATTGGAGTAATTTCTGTTCCCTTCAGCAAAGCATCCTGTCAAAACTAGTTGAGTTCTTTAGAAGTTGGTTTCCTTTTCCACAGTATAAGAAAAACGATGACATACTTCACCGACTGGTAAGTAATCACTTTTTTTTTTTTTTTTCATTTCCATTCCTAATCCGCAAGTCTTCCTTTCCTCTCTGCCTCGTCCTCTGAGCACCATCTTTGGTCTGTGTTGTTGGTTTTGCTAAGAGTTTTACTTATTCTTCAGATAATATTCTGATTTTCAGAGTTACTGTGCCAGGCAAATTGGGCACACAAGAACAGGAACAATATCAGTAGCCAGGTTGAAGATGTTCAAAATGTGGAAGAGAAATTAAAATAAAATGTATGAGAAATTAAAGAAATTCTTGACAGCTGAAAGGAGTTAACCTACGGTGTAGCTGCCTACTTCAGCAGAAGGCAGTGTGGAGATATTGACTGAGAAAGTCCATATGTTGCAGCCTAGTGCCTTGCAGACACAGCTCAAGACAGAAGGCTCTAGAGCTTCATCTGAGTGTTGCTTCACCTTCTGCTTCAGCTTGTTAGCTCAGGCGTAGCACTACCACAGTGCAGCCGTACTATCCTTGGACCCATCCTGGCCTGTCTGATGTCCACGGTGCTTCTGCATTTGGGAAAAGCGAAGCAAACTAAGACACCTCCATTATAGTGCTTCAGAACAGTGTTACGCGTTAAGAGCAGATGACATCTGTGTAGTGGTCTGGCTGTAGGGAGAGGCAAGAACAGTTCTCTGTACTACCTATGTTCTCTTGTCTCAGCAGTTCAGAAGCAGGTTGGGTATCCATCTGCCTCACCAGAAGTTGTATTCTTCTACTCCTGGAGCCTGCAGGAACTTTTAGGTTAACTTATAGTTAAAAATAGTTTTATGCTGCCTTTACACCTGTTCTCTGCAGCACCACTTTCTAGCCAGTTCAGTCTCTAGGCTGGGCTTGTCTGAGATCTGTTTTAACTTGCACTCAACTGCTTCAGGTTCCTAGTCTGGCTTACAAATGTCACATTAGTCAAATGGTTCCAGAATATAAAAGTTGGAATTTAGATTTTTTTTTTCTACTGTGATGTTGGGATGATATCTTCAAATGTAGCTTCAAAAAAAAAAAAAAAAAAAAAGTGTTGAGCAACATGAGAAGTTAGGGGTTTCCATCTCTCAGAGACTTCTACCGAATCCAATTGCTCTCTCTTCTCCATTATCTCAAGAGGACGAAATTTCCTCGGAAACCTCTCTTTAGTGATCTTTGGTTGTCTTTTTTTTTTTTCTCCCTCTTCCTCTATGAATCGAAAGTACTATCTTAACAGCTTTTTTTAACTGTACTTTCTTGAGATGGAGACATAGTCAAAGAATATGGAAAACATGTTTCTCGTTCTGCTATATAGTAGTAGCAGTGCTATAGTAGGGTACTGTTATCCTGTCAAGTCTGACACAGGATGCATCAGAGGCGGGCAGAGTTTCCCTTTGCATGCAGTCCTGAAACAAATGTTTTCCATTAAAAGCAGTATGCAGGTTATCTCAAGTGACATCAATATAAGGAATTAAACTTTTGACTAGCTGTCTTACGGTTTCATAAAGAATCTAATTCTGTCAGTGACAGAACTGAACAGGTTTTATACTGTGAAATGTCGTACTTCTGTTAACAGCTTCTATTAGAGGGTTTTCAGAAATATTCTCCTTTCCCTCCTGTAATCTAGCTAGATGCAAAGATGCACTTATTCAGTGTTCGTTGGGTTTTGTTATGACATTCTTAACTTGAAGTGTTTTGCAATTGTAGTTTGGTGCAGTATGCATATTAAAATTTCATGGGGCTTCTCTGATGGATATATTTGTCTTCAAGAGCTATGTATTTGTCTTCAAGAGCTGTAGTTGTAGGGGAAAAAAATAGTCAATGCTTATTGTGACATGAAATCCACAAGGAAGTAACTCCTTGAAGTTTGCCTGGAGTTTAGCAAGTGTGAGGTCTTTAGAATCTCATGCTGTTGCATGTTTGGATCAAGTTCCCTTGGGAAAGGCACAATCCTGCAGGAGAGGACTTGACTGCCTTGTCTTGGGACTTGAGTCCAGTGCATTGACTCTACTGTTATTAAGTGTCCATAGGTGACTTTTTGTTGTCTGATTTGCGATATCTCTCTTTCTAATTTTTGTTTGTTAATAATGTAAATTATGTCATGACATTTAAAAAAAAAAAAAGGTGTTTACTGTTTTATTAATGATCTTCTGATAGATATAGTACCTCTCTGATTCTTACGCAAATATATTGGCATAATCTGTGGCATGTTTCCAGGTATTGTTACTATCTAGGTCAGATCACAAAGTCAGTGCGATGCACACTGCAGGTCTGAACTGTTAGGTAGTATGTGAGTTCTTAAAGTTAAGCAAGTTTAATAAAAACAAAGTAGCTACTTGCAATATATCTGAAACATTCCTGTAGCCTTTGGGAACAGATTGTTGTCAGTACAGTGTAGAGTGTCTAGGTGGTTTTCTGCTAACTTAATTTTAAGAATTTTCATATTCTTTACTAATGCCTGTTTTTTCTCCTGCCCGTTTGTGGTAAGGATGTTGGATTTCGATTTGACACGCTCCGTACCATCCTGCAACAGGAAGTTCTGCTGCAGGAGGATGTGGAACTGATTGAGTTCCTTGACCCCAGTATCCTGTCTGCAGGGCAGTGTAAGCAACAGGAAAACAGACAGCTTCCAACACTACGCTCCCTAGCAACTCCTAATATTTGGTATTGTATAAAGAATATCTACCACTATATTCACTGAGAAACAAGCAAAAAAATTATTGTATGTTCTTTATATAAAATGCCGCAATGAAGTAACTACTTTATTTTTCAGGTCTTTGAGTCTTTGGTCCACTAGTTCCCAAATTTTTGTATAAGCATGTATTTTTCCTCCAGTATTTTATTGAAAGAGTGAGTTTTAATCTGAGATAGCTACATGAATGTGAATGGAAACTTCCAACTCTAATATTTGCTATAAGGAAGAACTAATATGGTTGATTAATTATATGATTGTTGTGATAGGACAAGGGGTAATGGTTTTAAAATAGAGGGAGGTAGATTCAGATTGGATATTAGGAAAAAATTTTTTACCATGAGAGTTGTAGAACACTAGAACAGGTTGCCCAGAGAGGTGGTGGATGCTCCATCCCTGGAGACGTTCAAGGCCAGGTTGGACGAGGCCCTGAGCAACCTGATCTAGTTGGAGATATGCCTGTTCCTTGCAGGGGGGTTGGACTAGATGACCTTTGAAGGTCCCTTCCAGCCCTAACCATTCTATGATTCTATGATTAATTCATGAATTTCTAAAGCTATAAAATGGTGATTTCGATAAACAAGACATGATTGTGAAGACTGAATTGAAAAGTGTTTTCTTTGCTGTGGTCTTCATAAAATATATTGGAGAGGTATGTGCAATTGATTTTCCGACATAGAATACCAGAAGAATAGACTAAAGAATATTTAAATAAGATGCATTCATGTCAGCAGAGGCTGAAATTCACCCTAGAATACTGAAGGAGCTAGCTGCAGCAGTGCCTGAACAGCTACCACCTGTATTTGAAAAATAACAAGGATGGTGAATGTTCTGTCAGGAGTCACTTGCTCAGAAATGGACAGGAATCAATAGATAAAAATATCTCATAACACAGCCTGGTGCTATGTTTTCAAACATATGTTAGGAAGATAGATAAGATTATTTTAAAGCCAAAGCAGGTTAAAAACCCAAACTTTTATGTCGTTGTATGTCATGTATGTAATATGTCATTATTGATGCTCTTTGTCAAGAGAACTTTTGAACCAGATTTTTCCAGCAATTTTTCCTGATCCTAGCACTATTCATTGTTTCTTTAACTGTTCAGATGATAAAGTACACTTAACAAAATTTGTAAATATTGCTCAGCTTACAGGTGACACCAAGTTTGTAAGTGTTTTGGCTGAATAGACTTCAAAAGTAGCTTAGAGAAATACAAGAAGAATCAAATAAACAAACACAAAGTGGTGAATATTTATGTAGGCAGTACCACTTCAGAAAAGGATCTGGACATTGTTGCAGAGCATAAATTGAATGCATCAGCAAATTATTAAAAAAATGGCAATTCTCATCCTAGTGTCCTTGTTATATGCAGGACATGGAGGTTTACTTTTCTGTTTCCCTAAGCCCTGTGTTAGACTACAGCATCTGGTTTTGGATGCCACACTTGGAGAGGCATAGGTAATTTAGAGACAGTTCGGAGTAGAATGAGAAGACTAATGAGTTTAAAAAATGTAATTTCTCAGAAACACTAAAATGTGTGAGGATTGTTTGGCCAAAATGGACAAAATTGAGGTGAGATGGAACAGTGTTATGATGTGTAGAAGGTAGTTAACAAAGTGGTGATCAGTCATCGTTTATTCTGTTCAGAAAAGTGAAGGATATGAGGAAAAATAGTGCAATCAGTTTACCAGTGATTCCAACTGGACTTGGGGGAAATCTTTTGAACTCTAAGGGTCCTTACAAATTGGAATAGCTACGTGGGAGGGTTGTAGAGTCTCCATTTTCTTTTTCACTCTGTCCATGATGGTCTGGATTAACTAGAAACTGAAAATGGACGAAGTGAGCTCTTAAATCACTTCCAGTCTTTCATTGTTGTGATTCATTTTTTGTGTGTGTGATTTATTTTTTTTAATGTACCGAGGAAGTTACAGACTGTGTGTCTGTCCTTTTTAAAGTTAATTATATATCTGGAATATTTTAATCCTAGACCTCTACTGAAACCTATCAGTAGCCCTGAAGAGTTAACACTTGTAAAGCTTGTTGAAATATGACCACAAAATTGTCCAGAAAATAGAAACTCAAAGATCATGTCTTATTTTAGAAATAGGAAAATATTCCTTGTGAATACTTCCAAAACTAAATAAAAGATATGCAGCCTTAAGGGGTGAAGAAAGTGAATATTTTTCTTTTAAAAAATTCTAAAAAAGTTAATGTTATGCATCTTGAAACCATAGCCTATTCATCTAGGTGAATACTGTCATAATTATACAAAACTGTAGGTTGCTCAGGTTGGATGAGGCTCTGAGCAACCTCATCTAGGGGAAGGTGTCCCTGCCCATGGCAGGGGGGTTAGAACTAAATGATCTTCAAGGTCCCTTCCAACCCAAACCATTCTATGATTCTATAATACTATATAGAGAAAACAGTGTATTTTCTAGCAGTTACTTTTTTTAATTGAATTTTTCTAGATTAAAATAACAGCTTTATGAAGTTTTTTAAATGAGAAATAACTGAACTGAGATACTAGTAACTGTTCTTTAAGGATTTTCAAAACCTGCCAAATTATTTTAAGCGATTATTGAAGCCATCTTTACAAAAAATGTGTTAAAAACTACTGGTGTGTTGGTGTCCAAGTTAAATGAGTCAGACTCTGGAAAAAGTAAAGCTAGCATTACTTGAGGGTTTTGTTACCAAAAGAAACGCCCTTCCCTACTGTACTCTTGAACCTGGAAGTACAGATATTCCCGTTCCTACCCACCCTGGCTTATAATGCTGAGTAACCAGGTTTTTTTCTTTTTCTATTTTCTTTTCTTTTTTTAAAAAAAAAAATGTTGTATATGTAAGAGAAACTGACCTTTCAAAGTGGTACATTATTCTTTTACTCATGCCATAAAAAAGCCAGAGAAATGTTTCCTTAGAGTATACTGACCAAGTAATATCATGTACGTATACATCTAAATCTGCCACTAGGAGCAGTTGTCAGTGTTTACAGCTCCCTTCAGGACCTACATAAAAAGCCCTGTAATAAGATGTTGTAATCTCGAATGTAACTGAAAGCTTCATGATTTTCCTGCTTGTTTGACCTCAGGAACTGAAAGCTTCATGATTTTCCTGCTTGTTTGACCTCAGGAATTTGTAGCTGATGGTACTTTCTCTGTTTGCAGGGATGTCTCGCTGTTGCTTGCCTTCGTAAGCGCGCTGCTTATGCTTCCTTCGTGGTGGAAGGAATCGTCGTGGCTGCCGTGGGGGGTAGTTCTGCTTGTCTACGCAGTCTTTCGCGTGTGGGGCACATGGAGGACAGCCAAGCTGCAAATGTCCCTGCGAAAATACTGTAGCCAGCTGGAAGAAACAGTGGCTAATAGCCGAGCTTTTACTAATCTCGTGAGGAAAGCTCTACGACTCATTCAAGAGACTGAAGTAATTTCCAGAGGATTTACCCTGTGAGTCTGTATTTCACTTTATGTAATACACAGATCCATTTAAGCCAGATATCTTCTAAAATTGTCCTGTTACACTGTCTTCATAACAAGTGGAATTACTGAAAAACATACTATTTAGAGCTTTTCAGTTACATAAAATAGTTTAATTACCATTCATTCTAAAACTATGAATTCTAACAACTCAGTGTTAAAACCCTGCATCCTGAAGGAGAATTAAGTCTCACAAAACTTCTATGCCTTTAAAATCTCATGCTCTGCTAGCAATGAAATACATGAAGAAGTGAATTTTGAACCAATTTAGTTAACTGTTTTGGGGAGTCAATTAGAGGATTGTTTGTTTGAAGGTTTTTTTAATCTTATATTACCAAATCTATGTAAGTAAACTGACTTGCAAGTAATCATGCATGCTTTAGAAATGAAAACCATTCTATTTTTATTGAACAAATAACGATCTGGAGGAATGAAAACACAGCAATCAGTAAAGACCATCAAAGGTCATTTCCCACCTCAAAAAAAAAAGTTTACAATAGGTTTTTTTTCCTGCATTCAGTTGTTGAGATGTTTAGAATCTTAAATTACTTACTTCTGAATTAGTCTCTTGTTTACTTAAGGGATGTGAAACTGTTCCTGGTTATTTAGTTCTTGTAGCTATTGGTAATTTTGCTTATTTGCTGAGTGAAAGGACTTCAGAACACATTCAGTGTATGCAATGATCACAAAGCCAACAGCCCCACTTCTGTGCACGCTCATTGCCGTGTGTGATCTAGGTGGTCCTGCTCAGGCAGGGGGATTGGACTAGATGATCCTTTGAGGTCCCTTCCAATCCTTAACTTTCTGTGATTCTGTATGCTCTTCCCTTGTAACAACCTATGGTTATATACGTACCTGTGCCAGTTAGACTTAAGGTTAAAGAAGGCAGGGAACACCAACAGCTAAAATCAAGTCCACTTCTTTCTAAAAACAATTAAAAAATTCCCCTGGGTGCACCAAGAAAGTGTTTGTTCATGCCAGACCAACAGCTCTGCGCTCAGGCACATGTTTTTACATGCAAATTTGAAATGGTAGACTTAACATTTTGAATTAATTTTCTAGCTTGAGATGCTTTCAGTATGCTTCATTGAAGAAATGTTTCTTTCTCCCTTTAGAATGCATGAGCGTGTCTTCAGTCTGCCTAGCTATGTTTTGTTTTCTTTTTTTGCTGAAGAAGCACGTTGTTAAGCAATAGGCAGTCTTATCTGTGCAAATGCGTTCTTAAAAGAAATTATTGTTAGGGCTTGTCCAAGTTACAGATGAGAAAAACATATGGATTTTTTCCTAAGTTTAAGCAAACCAACTTGTGGTCAATGTCTAAATTGCTGGTGCCTTGTTCTTTTGCTACATATCTTAGATAACATATTAACAAAAACCAGACTGGTCTTCAAGCTGATGTTTGATCTAATAGCCTCTTTCATTAAAACTTTGGCGAGCTTTTCAAAAGACTGCGGAGTATGGATGGAGTGGGAGAAGTCTGATTGCGTCAGCATCCTCTTTGCAACAGTTGTCCAGTATGAAGAAGTCAGTGCGGTACAGGTTTTGGGTTGGTTTAGCATGGAGGAAGTTCTAAATCCAGCGTCCTTTTCTGCATCCACGTATGCAAGAGATGCTGCTGCACAGGGCACCATGAAATTTTTTGCTTGAGATAGCGCTTCATGTATGATTCAAAAAACTAGCTACTCCTTTTTTCATCCAGAATTTTGCTGCAATAAACCTTAGCAAAACAGAGCTTAGTATGTTCTCCTGTAGTAACCTTGTCGAAGTCTTAATGCTTGTTCAGAAAGAGTCATGTGGCAATAGAAATGGTTGCATCGGAAAAGTTAATGCATATCTTCTTGTGTCATTTTACATCCTTGAAGGAATGGGATTTCAGCCAGGTAGCACAGCACAGCATGGTTTGGACTGTGCATTAACCGTGTTGTGAATGGAAAGATACTGAAGCTGATATTTAAATAGTACTGAGTTCGGATTTTGGCTAGCTGTACTTAGCTGAACTCTGGTATGGCAAGCTCAGGTCTGCAGCTTTGGCCTGAAGTTCCTTGCGTTCCACTGCTGTTTTTTTCTCCTCATTGCACCATCCATTGCTGTGTTCTCATAGGCTAATTTACCTAGGCTTTGAAATATCTATGGCTTTGCTTTATTCTACCCTGTTTGCCCCTTATTAATTCGTACTTGACTGTGTCTGTAAAAGTTAAATTATTCTTGATTGGGTTTTGGTCTGCTCTCCACTGGTTCTCTGGTCTGCTACTGTGTGGTAGTGACTGCTCTATGTTTAACCAATTCAAGCATTGTTTTCCCTTCATTCATTTCCCACCAAAAACACTACAGTAGCCACTTAGAAAAGGAACTAAAAATCCCATCAGTCCTCTCTTACATTAGCTGCTTTCAAAGGCAGCTGGATATTCTGATTTCAGAAATGTTGGCATTTAGGGTATGTCGGTGTGGTACAAGCTCTGCGATGCAGAGATGCCTGAGACCTCACCAGGGTAGTCTGGATTACAGAAATTGTGTAGCCAAGGTAGGGCAGTTCTCTGCTCAGACAGAATGGCAGTATTTCTGTCTTATTGTTTCATTTGCAATTAGACAAATGAAGCCTGATCATGGGTTGCAGCTGGGAACTTCTGCTGGATAATGAAAGTATGTCCGTTGTCTTGCACACTATAAAATGAAAACTGTAGGAATACCTAATGAAAGGCTGCAGCAATAAGCAGTAGTTATTTTCTTGTCTGTCACTGAAATAATTAGCTTTTCTCCAAAATGCTTCTTTTCTACTGTATTTTAAACTAGAATCAAGCTCTATGAGCACATATTGGTGTATATAGCATCTTTATAGAACTGCTTTCATGTTGGAGTGCAGTAATAGGTTTTTATTAATGCGTCTATACAAGGTCGTTAAAAGTTGAGAACTATTTAAAATTTGGCTGGTGAAATTAACGGAGAAATAAGTCACTGTTCTTTACAAGTAAAACGCATTTGGAACAGTAGGAAAGAGGAAATTCACCCTTAACCTTTATTTCTTCTTGGTATTTGTGGCTGATACGCAAAGCTGATAACATTTTGCGAGTTAAATTAAAATACATAGAAGAGAAATGAAACATTAAGAAGTTGGAGACATGGCACGTCTGGCACATAGACATTTATAGCAAGTTATACTAATTTAAGATTAGTGGAATAAAGAAGAATTATTTTATAAAAAACACTGAAACAAGCCTTCCCAGAAGGAAAGCAAATTATTTTGCTGAATACTGGCAGTACATGCTGTGCAGGAATTGTGCTATATTTGTTCTGTATAGAAGCTGGAAATGCTTATATCGCTGTAGCAGAACATAGATCTCTCTCTCTCTTTTTTACAGTAAAAGAATTTTACTCCTTTTCTTTGAGCCTGCTTCTGACAATTCACCCAGGGCTTGAGTCTACAAACTGATGTGAGAGTTCATCCATAAACATTTCCAGTTGTTACCTTCAAAACCTAAGGAAACGTTAGAGATTGGCGTGTAGTACATTACATGCTGTGTTCCCTAGTGAAACGTATGTCAAGACTAGCATTTTAAATTTATGTTTAGCAATTGAAATTATCACAGTTTGTTTTTATTTTATATAGATTTTAATGTACTTTATGAGCTGTTACAGCAACCGTTTTAATATCACTTATATAATTTAATATGGTATACAGTTGTTTTAACATGTTGCTTTAGCTAGCTTATTGAGTATACTGCTATTTGGCATGAATCTCCTCATGTTAACCATATTTAACATGCTGGTATGTGTTTAGCCTTGCTCACTGGGTGGGCTGCGTCGCTTTTCCTATTTGACAGCGCAGGCGATAAGCTGTTTCCCCTCCTGATCAATGTGCAGCATGGTCCAACTAAGCACATACAGTAGGACTGACATTTTTCTAGCAGGGTCAGGTCTGCTGGTTTAGTCAACTCTTCAGTGGGATGGAGGGTGGGCTAAAGAAATAGTTACTAATGCAGCAACCCACCCTGCCAGGTACCCTGTATGTTTTTCCCTTATAAGTGACTTCTGACATGAAATCACCTCCTCAATGTGCCTGGGAATGGTGAGACCAGGAGCAAGTTTCAAGTACCCAAACAATTCATCTCAGTTCATCATCCTGTTGTCCGCACTATGTCCGTTCCTGAGTTGATTCTAGTAAAAACAGTCCCAGCAAGTAGAATGGATGAACTGTCCACCTAGGCTATTTTCAGTGTCTCGGTCACAGGTTTGGCGTCAGACTATGTATGGGTAGATATAACTGGATATTAATCTTCCTTTCCTTTTCTACAGCTTAATGTTACAGATGTGTTTGACATTCACCCACTTCACAGTTCAGTTTATTTCCAGCTGAGGCAATTTCTTACCGTTCTGAAGCCATTCAGAAGTATGTTCTAATAGGCAAATGGCACAATTTCTTTTAAATGGTATATTCACCTGAATGTGTGGACACCAAAATATATTTTTTAATATGCTTGTATAGTTGCATACATTTCATGTGTTTACCTGTCAGACTCCCACAAACACAGCTGTCATTCATTGCATGATTAAATCTAAGTCACCACTCAAATAATATTTCTGTTGACCTAGAGAAGGTTCTGCATGGAGAAGGTTGAAAGAATATAGTGTGTTGGATGAAAAACAGTACGCAGTAGCACATTTTTTCTGCAAAAATTATTTAAAGAACAAATTTGCATATATGTTGAACATCTGTGTGTTAAAACCTCCAAAGCTTACAGTGGGCTTCTGATAGTTTTTTATCAGAGATAATGTTATGGCCTGTCTACCCTTAGTGTATCATTTTGGAAAACTTTGGAGAAAACAAATGTCTTTAGGAGTTTTGCCATGGCTCAGATGGGAATAGTCTGTCTACTGAGGAATCCTGCCTGCTTATCTAAAATCTTTATTAAATATATCATTGATATGATGGATTTGATTTTATTTTTTGCTCTCATAGTTACTGAGTGGTTTGAAAAAAGTTTTGTAAGTAATGGAATAAGAAATCTGATATACTGTCTTTTAAAAATACTTTAGGACATCTGTACAGTTGTATCACATTTTACTTTTCAAGTTTGCTTGACAGGGTCAGTGCCGCTTGCCCATTTAATAAAGCTGGACAGCATCCTAGTCAGCATCTTATTGGTCTCCGGAAAGCTGTTTATCGATCTGTCAGAGCCAACTTTCGAGCTTCAAGACTGGCTACTCTGTACATGCTGAAAAAATATCCTTTTCCTAAAAGCCCACGAGTTCAGATATTCCATGTTACTTATCTGTAATTGTGCCAATGTTTAGAGTTTGCATGTCTAGAAACATAAAATATCTTAATTACGTATCTAAACAAGATAAAGAAAAGGTAGCACAGTAAATTGTGGCTTATGCTTGGTTTGGAACATTCTTAAAATTTTTGTCTTTTTGGGTACTGTGCAGTGTGAGATAAGATTCTGTGCACTGAAACATTGTCCCAGTTACTGACACCCATGCCTTCGGTCTAAGTACTGGCGATGTGTGTCAGAGTCCTTCTTAGCCATCTTTTTCCCTTGCACCAAAATGCCCTCTCCTCTGAACAATATGGCCTTTCACTCAATATCCGTGTGTTCAAAGGTAAGTTGACTTCCTGTTTCAGGCAAGGTGGGTGAAACTCTGGTTACATTAATTGGCCATTTAAGAGCAAGGAGTTTCTGCTCTGAATCAAAGCAGAACACTGTTCAGATTCCATTTTGTGAAGCATCATCTATATTTCTTTGGTGAATTGTATTCTTTCTTAATGGCATTAGCATTTCAAGGGTTTTTTTTCTGTTTATTGTACTTCTTGTACTATATGGGAAACAACGTCTTCACCCTGTATTATAGCAAAAATAAAACAGATATGTTCCTGATCTGAAAAAACACATGCAGGGAAATGAAAGCAGGTGGTAATGCGAGTGTTGAAAATCTGACATGACAAATTGCTTGTTTTGTCTTCCTGAAACATAATATTTGACTAATGTATCTTGCCTGACAAATGGATGGATATACCGAGTGATGATGTGTACTCACACAGAGGGACACATAAAACTGTGAGTGCGTGCATTCATTTTGAAGGAAACGAGTATTTGTTTGCAAAATAATTACTTGTGTAGGGATAGGCATCCTCATTCTGGGCTCAAGACTTCACTCTTAGCTCTGAGGAATGAGGTGTATTTGCTGTGTAAAGAAAGAAAATAATACTCTGACTCGTTCAGGCATGTTGATAAGAACAACTGACAACCTAGCTTGGAAATAATCAAGAATCAGTTCTAAGAACATGGGAAGAGATCTGAAAATGGAATCAGTTAACATGGCCTTCTCAAATACCCTTCATCATGAAGGAAGGAAGTCTAGCAATGGTTATGGCAAGTGCGTAGATTGTTGCTGTGAGTGGGGAGGTTAGAGGTTCAAGGAATGTTAGTGTATATTACACTGTCCACTAGTTTTGTAAATACTAAATTTAAGGAATGGCTTTTAAACTAAAGGACAGGAGAGAAGAAAGTTATTTGTTTACTTGGGATAATTGGACATTTAAATCTGTCTTTGGAAAATATTTAGGATGGAAGTTACATTATACCAAATTATCATGCAGATATCACAGTAGTAAGGGCCAGCAGAAATAAATAGCAAAAAATTTATTGAAGTTGTGTTGTGTATAGGTTCTTGACAAATGGAAAGAGAAGCATTATATTTGTGTGAAGTGTAGTGGCAAAAACAGTGGCAGCATGTGAGCCGAGATGCAGGCTAGGCCGACTGCAGTGCATGAAAACTGAAAGCAAGGAATTTAATTGTAAGGAAAGTGAGTAAAGGATTCCTCCTCCTCAGCAGGGGATAATTAAGAGCAGCTTTAAGGCAGTTCCAAGTTGCCTTTTTCCCACGTATCACGAATGCCTGAAAACATTACATGTATTATACGGGCATTGATGGCAAGGAGCATCTTTCAAATGGGTTCCACTGCCTTGTAAAATTAAATAGTAGTCTTATGCTGGGGTGGCCAAAGATTCCTTCATGTCAAAGGCATTCACAGCTGCCACTTGTGACAACTTCAATGCCCTTGTCCGTCATCAGATTGTTAGCATAAATCTGGCCTACAGCAAGGAGAAGGAGGAACTGGAGACATTAAATAAAGGAGTGAGGTGACAAATCGAAGGAAAGGAATGCTGATAAATTAAAGGAAAGGAACTTCCATCCAAAGTCTGGAAATGAGATCCCAATTCTGACTTTTACAGTTCTTTTTTGCAAGCTCTGCTTTGCACAAAATCAGAAGATATTCTCAACTTTAACTCCACGAGGTTATTGGAGTTTGAACTAATGAATTGCTATTTGAAATTTGCTTTTTCTGAGTATCATGAGAGACATGAATCCATTAGCACTGTTAGTGATTTGCACTGGCAACAGCAAAACAAAATGCTTTTTTTTAGGGAAAAAAATATTGGAAAAACATTCCAAATATTTAACATTTGTATTAGTATTAAAAAGTGACATAAAAGAACCTCCAAACCCTATACTTCCTGGTTAGTCATAATACTGCTTAAATGAACATTTTTTTGTTTTACTGGATATTGCTCTGTATCTTCGTAGCAGAGCAGATGTATCTCTGTATTTAGGCAAATGAAAAACGGAATAATTTCTGTCGGAACAATTTTCAGTAGGAATTTAGTATGCAGAATACCTCAACAACAAAATTTTAAACTTTCCAGTGAGTACACTGTGGATCAAAGCTTAGTTCCATTTTAACTGATGGTTGTTCATTCTGTAGGGCCATTTTTATCTTTAAAGAATAAGGAAGTAGTCATTCCTTAAGAGTGTAAGAAAATATGTAGGACAGGCACTGCTTTGAATCATGGAGTGTGCATTTCATGGAAACATTTATGCATGTATAAATGGGAAATGAACTTCCATATTACACTTTGCTTTCTGTGGTTGGCAGTATGCAGTTGGTACTGCTACATGGGCATGATACTTGTCATTCAATGACAGTGGTGAGCCTTTGACTCCAGAGATCCTTTCTGTGTGATGTCCAGTTATCAAAGTAAGGTGTTAGTCTGTTACTGGGCTTCCTGAGTGGTATACTTGGTACAAAAGTATGATAGTGTGAAGTATGCCCTATTTTTTGCCATCCTTATGTTTCTTATAATGAACCTGGAAATTTGAGATTGAAATTTATAATGCTGTGAAGATAATTGTTGCCTTAAGGCTACGGTAAATATACCTTGAACTGATACATGTCTGTTATTACATATAATGGTTAAAGTAATACAGAAAATGGTATTAAATTTACTAATGTAGTAAAAGGTATACTTTAAGTTAAGTTAAGCTTTCATTTAAAACATTCTTATATATTCAGAACTTACTAGAAATATCTGTAGCTGAATTATTTTTCAAGCTTATTATGTCAGAATATCCCTTTCAAAAATAATTTGCAACAAGATCAGTTTACTCATTGTGGCTTGATAAGGGCTGATAATTTTCTCTACTTTGAAAATATGCATTTATATGTGCTTAACAAAATCAGCTGAACAGACTCTTAAAGGTACTGTTTTCTAAGACAGGTTGCATGTACGTAATGTTAAGTCAAAAATGTGTTCAGAAATAAGCAAAATCTATTTTAATGGGGCAATTTTTTCACAGAAAAGGTCATTTCAGTGAATGATGTTGTATAGACATATATTTGATCTAAGTTCTGTGAATTTTAATGCTTACATTGCTTTAAATCTAGATCTTTAAAACTATGCAGTTAAATACGTAAATATTTAATCTTAAAAACATTTATAGATTTGTATCTCATTTTGTCAACAAATGCAAACAGGGGCAGTCAACATGACTTCACTAAGGGGAAGTCGTGCTTGACAAACCTGATAGCCTTTTATGAGGACATCACCCAGTGGGTGGATGATGGTAGAGCAGTGGATGTGGTCTGTCTTGACTTCAGTAAAGCATTTGACACAGTCTCCCACGGCATCCTCACAGCTAAACTGAGGAAGTGTGGTCTGGATGATCGGGTAGTGAGGTGGATTGTGAACTGGCTGAAGGATAGAAGCCAGAGAGCAGTGGTCAATGGGACAGAGTCCAGTTGGAGGCCTGTATCCAGTGGAGTCCCTCAGGGGTCAGTACTGGGAGCTATATTGTTCAACATATTCATCAATGACTTGGATGAGGGAATAGAGTGCACAGTTAGCAAGTTTGCTGATAACACTAAACTGGGAGAAGCGGCTGACACACCTGAAGGCTGTGCTGCCATTCGGAGAGACCTGGACAGGCTGAAGAGTTGGGCGGGGAGAAATTTAATGAAATACAACAAGGGCAAGTGTAGAGTCTTGCATCTGGGTAAGAACAACCCCACGTACCAGTACAAGTTGGGGACTGAACTGTTGGAGAGCAGTACAGAGGAAAGGGACCTGGGGGTTCTGGTGGACAGCGGGATGACCATGAGCCAGCAATGTGCCCTTGTGGCCAAGAAGGCCAGTGGCATCCTGGGGTGTTTTAGAAGGGGTGTGATTAGTAGGTGGAGAGAGGTTCTCCTCCCCCTCTACTCTGCCCTGGTGAGGCCACATCTGGAATATTGTGTCCAGTTCTGGGCCCCTCAGTTCAAGAAGGACAAGGAACTGCTTGAGAGAGTCCAGCGCAGGGCCACAGAGATGATTAAGGGAGCATCTCCCTTGTGAGAAAAGGCTGAGGGAGCTGGGTCTCTTTAGCCTGGAGAAGAGGAGACTGAGGGGGGACCTCATTAATGTTTATAGAATCATAGAATGTTTAGGGTTGAAAGGGACCTTAAAGATCATCTAGTTCCAACCCCCCTGCCATGGGCAGAGAAATCCTTCACTACACCAGGTTGCCCAAAGCCTCATCCAACCTGGCCTTGAACACTTCCAGGGATGGGGCATCCACAACTTCTCTGGGCAACCTGTTCCAGTGCCTCACCACCCTCAATGTAAAAAATTTCTTCCTTATATCTAAGGAAGAAAAAAAATAAATATGTAAAGGGTGACTGTCATGAGGATGGAGCCAGGCTCTTCTCAGTGGAATCCAATGATAGGACAAGGGGAAATGGATATAAGCTGGAACATAGGAGGTTCCGCTTAAACATGAGGAAGAACTTCTTCCCAGTAGGGGTAACAGAACACTGGAACAGGCTGCCCAGAGAGGTTGTGGAGTCTCCTTCTATGGAGGTGTTCAAAACCCACCTGGATGCGTTCTTGTGTGATCTAATCTAGGTGGTCCTGCTCCGGCAGGGGGATTGGACTAGGTGATCCTTTGAGGTCCCTTCCAATCCCTAACATTCTGTGATTCTGTAATTCTATGAAATATACTTGAGGGGCTAGGCTGGTAACTCTTGGGCTGAGTCTTAAAAACTGGCTAACCTAAGTATTAATCTTAATTGTAGACAAAAATGAGTGACTAAGTAAAAATAAAATAGTAAATACACCGTAAATGTTAAAGAATATGTTGATCTACGCTAATCTATTAAGTGTAGATTTTATAGCCATATGTATTATTTCTTCTACCAAAATATCTGCCGCAAATTTTGCTTTTATGTTAATGTATATCTCAAATGTGTTAGAGGGAGATCTGTCTGATGAACCTGTTACAGAGAATTAAAAAACCTTAATTCACAGTTTTATTCATGGCAATACAAATTGCATAAACTTGATATGTTATCATTACTCACTCCAGTAAGATTAGAAGTTTAGCAATATTTGCTTGTGGTTAGTGTGCCCCCTTTTAGCTAGACAGCTCCCTTCATTGAATAATGCCATCTTAAATAAAATTTATTCCCATGTAAACCAGAAAAAATATACAGTTATACTTTAGCCCTATACCAGATGTTTGTATCAAACTTGGTGGATCAGTAATACTTCATGAGATGGAAAGTCATATTCCTTACATTTTATGTGAAATAACAGTTGGGTGCTTGCAGAAACCATTCAACATTTTCTCATGCTGTTCTTATTCTGATTTGTTTGTATTGAGATGATTTCATTGCTCAAAATCAAAGAAGAAAAAGTCAGAAGGAAGAAAGGAAAAGAGTATTTCTCTTTTAATCTGGAAGATTAGGGTGTAGCAGGATGCAATGGCTGAAAGCTTAGGCTAGAAATTAGACATTTTGGGTTAAGTATTTACAGGATGTTGTGCAGACCAGTGACTACTAGCTCAACCAATCTCTGCACTGTACTCCATCGAATTGTGTAATATCTCAAGTAATACTTCAGTTGGCTATTTGCTTAATATTTTATACGTAAGAGCCTTGTGGGTTCTGCGTCATGGGAATCTATGATTTATTCACTGATTTAGTGATATTCAAGCTGGATGGAGGAAGTTTTGTAGCTTATGTTTCTAGATGACGTTCGTAGTCTCATCCTGAGCTGGTGCAAAATAGTGTGATACTCCATTTCCATTGAACTATAGTGATAGGTCAGACCTGGAGGTTGGACCATATAAACTCAAGCAGGACTGAATTTGTTGTCAGTGTGTCATTCCCTGATGAGAAGGCATAAACAGACATGGGATAGCAATATTTTAAATTTAATTATATCTTACCTGATTAAGGTGGAATGGATATAAAATGCTTTCGATGTCTTTGAGATGTACTGAGCTCAGGGAAACTTGCAAATTTCCTCTAGTAAAAAAATTGTTCCTTCTCCTTTGCAAAAATTTAGCTATTGCATCGTGAAATGTTAGAAAAAAACACATACTTTTTAACTCGGGAAAGAGAAAGCTTGCACAAGAAAACAGTAAGCTAAACAAAAAGTAGTACCTTCTTTGGGTCATAAAAGCCTAAATCAGAAATCTGATGCTGGAAGGTCTGAATAAAGATACTTGGAAATTTTTCAGTGTGATGTTTCTTCATTGACCAGCCAGTTCATCACATGCTTTGCTTATCCCTCCCCGCCTGATGAGCAAGTAAGGATTTTATAAAAGAGCGGCTTAAATTTTTCAGGGATATTGTGAGGCCTTCCTGTTAGATCTTTGGATGGGAATGTGCTTTTGAAGAGCAAGGTGCGAATATTAAATTGTTAGGCACAGGGGTATGTTACTGTTCTTATGTTTCTTTAGGTAAATAAGATTGGCCTCCTGGAAGAGGTTAGATATTCGCTGTACAGATACTTTACTCTGGATGTGACTGTTTATTATTAAGTAGCTTTGTCTTCTTTTTTTCCAAACTAATAAGGAATAGAAGTTAAACTCATAAAGTATTTTCATAAAGGCATAAAAATTTTGCTAACGTAAGCTTAGTTACTGTATTTTGATTTTAATAGAAAACATTAGCTCTAAAAATATTGTGTTTTAGAGCAAAGCACATGAAAGAAATATGTTTGTATGTGATGTATGTGCTTAAACTTTCTGAAGGTTTAGTTGTTAGGAAGCTAATAGGGGTGTGGGATCAGCTCCCTGCGCTTTCATCTAACATAGAAATGGGAGTGGGAGGGCTACAATAGAGCAAGGCAAGGCAAGAGATGTGAGAGTCCTCTGGGAATCTCAAACTGAGACATAATACTGATAAGCGGCTCGTTTGGTCAAACCACACATTTGAGAGATTCCCTGGAATTTTTTTTTAGCATGACTTAGAAATTCACATGTGTCCAAACTGCTTTTTATGGTGTTCGTGCTGTTGTAAATGTCTTCTTGTGTGAAAATACTAACAAGGAAAATAATTAGTCTTGGAGATAACTGGTCCTGAAGGGTTTTGACCTGGTTTTTCAATCTGTGGTGGAGTTACCATCCTCATCCCATGTGCTCCATCTGCTGGGCATGCTGTCAGGTTAATTTAGAGGAGACACTACGTTTATGTGAGGCAGCGGCTGGTGGCAACAATATATTGTGTTTCTGAGTGATTCGCATTGCAGTTTTTCATCTTCATTCATGCTTCTGGAGAACACTTAATAGGCTTCTTTCTTCCTGGACTTAGGGGAGAAATTAGGGAGAAATTTAGTTGTTTGTTTAGAGCTTGGACACTTAGTATTGCAGTTTCCTGGGCCACAGAAATTTTATTTTAGGCAATGTTCTACTGTTCAAGTGGTAAAAATTTTTTTGAGCAGATCATCATTACAAATTTAATCCTATGAGGATTTACCAGGTGGAAAATTTGGGAGTGAAAGCAGGTGGAACTTGTAGCTTCTCCAGAAAACACATTAGTTGGACAGGAGACAGGTGCTTCTAATTGGCTTTATGTGCCCCAAGAGATGAGAGTGTTCAGTTTGTATATCAAAATATAAATGAAAAAAACATAGTTTAAATTAAGGCCTTATTTTCATGAATGCTTCACAATATTTTTTTTATGTATTTCTGTGGAACAAACGTGCTTGTGATCATAAGCTGTAAGTTTCTGTTTTAAAGCAAATTTTACTATTTTGCAACTGGGTAACTATCCAAAACGTGCAGAAAATTTGAACCGTTCCTCTTCCCCCTTCCCCAGCATGTTTAGCCTAAAATTAGTGCTATTTTAAAATAAATGCTGCCTAGTCTATGAATTATTTGTGTCTATCTTCTGGTGTCAGTTATGTCATGCTTGCTTCCTACTTTTTAAGCACTTCTGAAGACTGGAAATGTATATTTTCATACTCAGAATTTAAATAGGCTGAATAATATTGGTGGATAAGTTTGCCACTGTTCCTGCCAAGATCATGGTGGCTTTACAACAAGGTAATCAATAAAATGAGTGGTATGACAATCCAGGAGCTCCTGTTCTTCACGATACCATCTGAAATGTCAGAGAGCAGTTATTGTAGAGATCTTTGAGCAGTTCGTCCACAGACAGAACTTGCGGGGAATTACCATCACCCTGAGTTTGGCCTGTAACGTAAGCTACCTTTGAAACTTAAAATTGCACAAGAAGTGCTCTCCTCTTTCCTCTGGTAAATATATGATTTCTGGTTTAAGGTTGACATGAGATACTTCTTGGAAACTTAAGATTTAAAGATAAGGTATTTTCCTCACTTGAAAGGGATGCAGGGATTTTTTCATCAATCTGGTTTGTTTCTTTTTATGTGTTTGTATTTAGATGTAGCTGTTTTGTCAATGTCTTATCTTTCATCCTTCTAAGAGTCTTCAAAACTTGTGCTCTGAGTAAGGACTGCAAAACATTCAATTAAACAGGATTCAGGTGGATTTGGGTAGAATGTATATTCTTTCATGTAAATTGCCAGAAATAAGAAACCTTATTAGGTGTTTTTCCCTTTTCTGTGTGTTTAATGCAAAAGTTGCTTTGTTAACCACCTTAACTCCGGCTAAACCTACCCGCTGAACTCGGAGAGCGACAACGTGACCAGCTACATCTGTGTCGTCCCCTTTAAGGAGCTGGGTCTGGGACTGAGTGAAGAGCAGGTGTCTGAAGAGGAGGCACACAATCTCACCGATGGCTTCAGTTTGCCTGCGCTCAAGGTAACCTCTCCTAGAACAACATCTACATCACGAGGTTCCTCGTGAAAATCTCTTTCAGTTGTCACGCAGGCTTGTGGCTTGTACATACTAGCCTGTAGTAACACGGTCAACTGACGGGGAGATGTTATCAGTCTTATATCACGTGTTTCTACATTTATTGGCTTTTAGGTGATTTCTGCTTGCATGTAGTTGAAGAGAAGTTGCACAATACACCAGGAGGATTTTTTTCTGCAAATCGCATAATTTCAAGTCAGTGTTTTATAATTAGCTTGAGCAATCTCCTTCTTAAACATGATCTCTTGCTCTCTGATTTCACTTCATACTAACTGAGTAAAGTAATTTCCCGATTTGTATTTCTATCTTTTTTAGCTAATCTCTTGACTTAAATAAAACGATAGGCATCCAAAGGTACAAATTAGTTGTAATTGCCAAAGGGAATAGCTGCATGTAGTTACACTGAGGAGTAGAAATCATAAGCTTGGACCCCTGCTGCCATGAAACAGTGTGGTTCTTTGATCTTTGAAAAACATTTAACTGAACAAAATGACAACCACATAATGGCCTTTTTATCTATTTTGGTTTGAGATGTTAAGTATTTTTGATTTGCATGAGTAAATGTTTGCAGTTGGAAGGAAGATTTAATTTGAATGCAAGCCTTCTACACTCTAGTGGTTCTCTGCTGAGGCAATTCCATTTTAATATAATTTTTTTTAATGGAAAATTCCATTATTGTGTGGCTCTGTGTTTTTATGGGGTTGGTTCTTGTTGCATTTGATTCACTGAATTCCTAGACCTTGACTTCTTTTGTTCTGACAGTAAATGTTACCAGTAATAGCGGTTGCTAAGCTTTGAGGCTTTGTCTAATTAGTTGTAAGCTAAGAGCTACATCAGATGTAAGCTTTGGGGATTTTTTTCTTGCCTTTTCATTAGCTGAAGTTCTAATTGCAACCATGCAAGATCACTTATTTACCCACGTTTTTTTAAGCGCAAGAAGCCAGTCAGAGTTGCCCAAGCTTGCAAGCTAAGTCTTTATTTACCTGCAATCTGCAGTAATTTAGCTGAAATCTGTTTTAGTTCAACTGTTTGGGATGCTTTCCGAGTAAAGTTAAGCTCACAACTAAATCTCAGTTTACCTTAACTGGTAACAGACAGTGATGAAGGCTTGGTCTGGTGTAGTTGAATCAAGTTAAATTAACATAAATCAGTCCTAAGCAAATTGCTGCTTAGATAACAAAATAGATACATTTAGATAACCCTGAGACATGCTCGTGTTGCGACCCCTGGATTTATGAACAGTCCTCTTTAGGTTTGGGTTTTTTTTAATTTGAGAGAACTTGCCATTATATTAAAATGCAGGTAGAATACAGACATGTGTCCAGATTTAGTTAATATATTAATTTCCTTCAGGCCCCTACCTAGGCCATATGGCAAATGTAGCCTGTGTGTTTTGGATACCTTGCCCTTGAACTAAACCAGTTTAAAGAATGAAAAATTATGGCTTGAAAATAAATACTGATCCAAGCTGAGGAGAGCCAGTGAGATGTTTTGGATGAAGTTTAAATGCCAGTAAGTATCATCAAAAGTCATTGTCAGAGCAAGCTACTTGCAACCCTAAATAGATCTGGAATTTCCTTTTCTTTCATCATTATGCCTGTTTTCAGGTAGGTTTTGGATTATTATTATTATCAATTACTGAAGTTCATTACTTTTGTGTACTACTTTTTCACTGCTTTTGCCTAATGTCTGGTGGAAGGGATTGGTCTTCTTTTGCGCTTATTGTAGTGTGAGCTCTTGACTTTCTGTCCAGGGCATCACACCTTCAGGCACACTTGGGTGATTGCTGCCCATTTGTTTGCTTTTTATTGTAACACCCAGCCAAATCACTGTCTTGCATGTGTGCCACAAATTAATTTCATATCATTCTGTGCGCTTGCTTCTCATAACCATGTTTTTTAAACTGAGAATTATTTTTTTTCTTTCAGAATATTTTGTCGGTTTGCATCCAAGTATTTTTGATATACTTGTGGGTATATCAAATCACATCTATCTGAAGGCATTTAATTTTTTGTGTTACTATTCTGAATGTTTTGCTTTTGAATATTCGCACACTGGGAAAAAATGTTATTTGTCCGTAGTAGTATGAGTACAAAGATACACATATCTTATTAGAAATCCTCTAGATCTAAAATCTCAGAAAAAGTCAATTGTTAGTCCTGTTCTGTAGCTGAGGGAGGCAGAAAAAAAGCATTATGAGTAGTTACTTTTTCTTCCTCTGTCTGGAATGCTTGAGAACAGATTTCAGACTACACCTCATATTCACCTTCAGTTGTTTCGTTTCAGTAAGGACCAGAATTGCAGACAGAAGTGTCAGAAGCTTTCCTTTTTGTTTTAGAAATATAAGATGCTACTGTTATTTCATGGTCTGCTGAGCTAGCAGTCTTCTCTAAACTAAGAAAACAGTTCTTTTTGTTTCATTGGAAGTGAAAGTTCTCAAGAAATCGAAATTGTGGGTTTCCTTGCTCCCAGAGGGACTGTCCTCTTTTGAACCATATATAACATTGTCAATCGATTAATTTCTTCCAAGTCTTTCCTCCTTAGTGACATTGGTGAAGTCTCTCACTTCAGCTGAAAAAAACCCTAAGTTAGCAGTTCAGCTCTCTTCAGAAGTTGGGTGGGTTTTGTGGAAGTACAGTACCATTAGACTCGTGTTTCAGGGTTGGGTGTGGGGCAATGCATTCGTTAGTAGATCACAGAAATGATAGTTTGGTGTTATGAAGGAAAAAATGTCTTTGCTGCCACTGTAATTTTGGCAGCCCTTTGTGAGGTGTAGAGTATGTGGAGGTTTTAGCAATAATGAGACTGCCTGATGTGAATATGAGTTTTTAGACATCTGACAACCTTCTGAGCATAATTGCATGTAATATCCTTCATCAAAGAATTAACAGTCACCCAGGGTTCACAAGATCTGAAACTCACATGGTCTGGAATACCCTTCAAAAACATTCAGTGGATTTTCTTAGTTTTTCAAAGTTCTGTGGCTGGCCAAGGAATGTTTTCCCATGATACATCTGTACGTATGGTTTGGCGGCTGGCTGTCTTCCCAGGTGCACAGAGCTAACCCTACTCTGTTTTGCAGGTCCTCTTTCAGCTCTGGGTAGGGCAGAGTTCAGAGTTCTTCAGGAGGCTGGTACTGCTCCTCTCCCCAGCCAACGCGTCCCCCAAGCCCTTGGTCTCCCCCGAACGGCTGCCTCATCACATCTTGTCGGATGTGACTCAAGGCCTACCTCACACACATGCTGCCTGCTTAGAGGAGCTTAAGCGAAGTTATGAGTTTTATCGGTACTTTGAGACTCAGCATCAGTCAGGTTTCGAACGGCCAGCCAGAACAAAGCAGAAGTCAAGAGAGCTGAACAGTCTTCAGACAGCTGTACGCAGCTTGCAGCTTCATCTCAAGGCACTGCTCAATGAGTAAGTTTACACATGAATTAAGAGAATGTGCCTGTAGGAAGAAGGCTCAGACTTGAGTTCTTTGGGTTGTCAGCTTGTATCTGCCGCAAATTAAAACCAAAGAAGGCAGCTGTGTACAGTCATTGCAATCATAGGCATATCTTCGTGTACTGTGGGGTCAAAGGTTCTTGGTTCCGTATGGAATCTGATATTGTTTCCTGGTTGTTCTATAAGTACCTGGTGAAAATTCAAAGCTAAGCATTGCATTAAGATCTTGCCTTGCTTTTGTCACTCCCTTGAAAAAAATCTGAAAACTTACTTATCTGTCATTGATTTTGCAACATACCAAATGCTTTATAATAAAGTTTAGCTTATAGTAGCTACCTAGTACATATTTTTAAAGATTTGTCACTGCCTTGGTGAAATAGTTGGAACTGTTTTACTCCTTTAATCTTACATATAAGAATTACTATAATGAATGCAGGTGATCAATGTATTTTGATGTGGAGAAAAGGATCTTATTTTTAAATTTTTGGGGCATCTTTGAGGAATTGGCTGAATTAGATTCTTAAAACTTAAAGAAAATAGCAATGTATTAAATTAAATACCTGAAGGAATGGTGAAGTTGGATATTTATTATTACTTACTTCTCTTCATCTCCTCATCACTCAGGGTAATAATTCTGGAGGATGAACTTGAAAAACTTGTTAGCACTAAGGAGACACCTGAGTTGACAACAGAAGCCCATCAAGTTCTGGAACAAAAACTGAAGTTTATTCAGCCTCATATCCAGGCAAGCAACAGCTGCTGGGAAGAAGCAATTTCTCAGGTGGAAAAAATGAGTGGAAGAAACCCAAATAAAAAAGGTAAATGTGAGAGATTAATTTAGCAATTGGTGGGATACACTTTAGAGATGGAATAATCAAATGCATCAAAAACAGCACTGAGCCCAAGTATCAGAGTTTTAGCCGAAGAAGGTCTTACAACCATACGCTTTGAAGAACTGTCTACATGTGTCAGGCTTTTTCATGGTGATGACTGACCTTGAAGCTTTTGTTTCAGCAAAAAATGTAAACATGTTAACTCATTCTGTTAGACCTGTGGATTCGGATTGTTACATTCCCAAGTGTAGACTCATGGTGGCTTTTGGCCTTTGGTTGATGAATCACATGAGAAGGGATGGGATTTGGATGAATCATCCCTGAGATTTCTGTTTATTTACTGCATAAAAATTACAAAGTTATTTGAAATTACAATGACATTGTCATGAAACTTTCTTGACAGTGACATTTCCTGGAACATTTTAAACTGTAGAGGATGTATTGAGCATATAATACCCGTTTACCTGCTCTGTCAAGAGAGAGTGACCTAATCTTCTGTGTGCTTAAAAGTCATACTGAGCAGCATATCCCAAAGTTTTGCCTTATGTCCCTCTCTTTAGTGACTCGTACTGCCCATGCCGTTCTCCTTCTGAATCACAATTAGCTTAAATAATGTTAGTGAAGTAAGGCTTTCCTGACACAGAGTTGAACCTGTAATTTCTAGTTTTCCTTTTTTCCAGGAGCTTTTTCACTGTCCTAGGAAGGCACAGCCCAGCATCAGAGTAATGCTGGTAATGGAAACTGCATTAGGAAAATTATGACTTGGGATATCAGCAAGTTACCTACAGAAAACCAAATTTGTAGTGAGTGAAGCTCTTAATGATATATGGGTGGGATATCCAGTAGATGGATGAATACCGCTGTGGGCCTAGAGGTGCGCAAACTGACCTTGTTCATGCTTACATCAGAACTGGGAGCGCTGGGAGGCCTAATGCAGGCTCCATGCAGGTACAGACATGGTATGACCAAATTTGTCTGTACTTTGCCTCGTAGTCTAGTCTTACAACTTCCCTCTCAGTGATGCATAAAACAACCTCTGAAGATATTAAATTTACTCTGATACGTTTGCATGTGCTAGCCTGTTGTGTTTTGGATGCCCTCCACAACCAGCAGTTCCACTGATGGGTTTTTTTCCCCTTTCCTTAAATGTTCTTTCTAGACTGCATGCCACAGTATTTTTAGTTATTTTAGTTCTATTTTTACTTTGTGTATAAATTTCACAGTAGGCTTCCTTTTAAAGTTCAGTACAAAATTAACCTAGTGTGTGATCTAGAAGGGAGGGATTGTGTGGGAAATAAAAAATAAAAAAACCTTCACTTTCACTTTTGCCCAGTGACTTGCCTGGAAACGTGCTGGGGTTGATTCTCTATTTTGCAACAAGTTTACTGAATTACTTCACAGGAGCTACTTTTAAATAATGTTGGTCATTGAAAACTATTTTTATCTGACTACGTTTTACTTTCCTGATATGTTTCTAAGCAGTCTAATTTCCGTGAGTTGACCTTTTCAAGCTGTGCATGAAATTGAGTCTAATTCTTCTGCTGACTTTCTACAAATCTTGACAGCTGGTCTGTTGGTCATGATTATGTGAATTACTTCATTAAATTATCTTTGGTTTTTTTCAATGCTTCCTGTAAGCTCTTTGGAAGATCTGCTGAAATAATATAACAGTTAAGCACATCTTTCTCTTGTCTTTATGCGCTATTATCCAAACCCAAATGAATCTTTTGACAAGAGCTGTAGCAAGAACCCCGTAGCAGCACAACATTGTGTCAAAGTGGACGCCCAGCACTTTTGCTGCAATAAATGCTTAGTTCAGTTAACTAGTTCACCCAGGGAGCAGTGGGAATACCGTTTTCAATGTCAGTGGTGAACACTGTTGAAGAAGCAGCTGTTTCTGATGGCTTAGACCCAGTTTTGAGAGGGAATATTTCATTACATAAAAGCTGTATATATTTTTAAATATTTATAGCAGTATCTCATAATTGTTCTTAGTATTAAACAAAATAAGCCTTTTTTGGTTCTTCATCTATACATACAAAATGTATCCAGTATTTAAACTTAATGTTTGCTTGGGTTTGGATCTTACCATGTTTATATACTGAGCAAAAATGTAGCTTTACTTGCCCTTCTTCATTCCTTCTGCTCCCAGCATGGGAAGGTTTCCTTCCATGAGAAGTAGAAGTCAGCTCAGCAGTTGCAGCAAAAGGCCCGCATTGCCCCATGGAAAGAAAGAACCTGGGGACTCGTTGCTCCATCCAGCATCAAACTGCTGTTGAACCAGGAGTTGAAAGCTTCCAACCACTAAAGAGCTGTTTTGAACTGTGAGCTGTCCTGGTTGTGGCATCCTACGTAGCTGCCTATCAGTTATTTTCAGAGCAGTTTTGCATTTCTTTAATTGTTTTCTGTATAAATGATTGTTTATACAGAATTTGGATGTCCTTCAGCAAGCGCTGCACGCTTCTTGCTCTAAGTCATTCTGTGTCAAAGCAGGTTTCTCACAGCTACGTTAAATAGCTCATTGTGTCAAGCTCTGTCAAAGCAAAGCCTTTAAATCTACCTGATTGAACATTCATTCATCAGCCTTTACTGGGTGGTGATATCAGTATATATTATGCTGTATGGTTACTTTAGTAAATGCCGTTTGGCTGCTTTGTTTCCAGGACTTGGTGTATTTCTAGAACCAGTGCCGTTAGTCACTGATTCTGTCAGATACAGAACAGAGCCTGAGCACGAGTGGGGCTTTAGCACCTTGAAGGGAATTTACCTCTACTTAAATTCATTGGACAATGATAGGCTTATCTATTGTTGTTCTTTGCTCGCTTCCCACAGGAGCTGATTCTAGACTTTCAGCCATCTTCTCTTTATTCTTTCGCCTTTTTCATCACTGATAAAACTGATTTGCCACTTAAGGCCTCGACAGTTTAAGCATGTAGTAATCTGCTGCTAATTTTACAGAATGGAATATGCTTTATGGCTAGTTATAGGGTTGTTTTAATGATCTTTGAAATAATATCCCTCAGACTGTTTATGTCTCTATCTTTGCAAATGTATACAGCTTTTTTAGATATTTGTAAGAGCAAGACGATAGTACGCTGCTACAAGCTCCTGGATCTTGCAGTCATTTGATCCACTAGAGAGGAACTAAAGCAACAGCAGTTTTAGATAAACACTGTGAATTCGTCATCTTGAAGCATATCAAGATGATAGTTGAGAAACTGGTAACTGCTGGCCTGGA